GACTTCTGACCTTCTCCACAAGGGTGGCATGGTGTCTTAGTGGTTAGCACTGCTGCCTCATGTCACCAGGGATCCAGATTCGATTCCACCCTTGGGCAACTGTCTCTGTGGAGTTTGCACATTCTTCCTGTGTCTGCGTGGGTTTCCTCTGGGTGCTCTGGTTTCCTCTCCACAGTCCAAAGATGTGCAGGCTAGGTGGATTGGCCATGCTAAATTGCCCATAGTGTTCAGGGATGTGTAGATTAGGGGGATGGGAATGGGTCTGGGTGGGATGCTCTGAGGTTTGGTGTGGACTTGTTGGGCCAAAGGACCTGTTTCCACACTGTAGGGATTCAATTCTATTCTAAAATGCACAAAGGGCTTGGAGTGAGGGCCCAGCACAGGAAATTGGCTGCTCGGGGCTCCACTGTCACAATGACCACACTTCAAAGTACTGTTTATAAAAACACTTTGTGGCATCCCAAGTTCGTGAAAAGCTTATGAATTTCTTCCTTAATTACCTGTTTACAGGATGTAAACAAGCACATCCATTTGATCAGGCATTTTATATTTGTTCAAGAGTCTCAAGCTAGGTCAGTATCTCTTTCCTACCCCCAAGAGTCTTTGAGAGGGTGTGGTGAGCCACCTCTCTGAAGCACTGCAGTATATGCTGTGTGGGTGCATGCACAAATCTTTTAGTGATGATGTTCCACTGAAAACATTGCTGCTTCCCAGACTTTAATCAATGTATAAATTAATTAACAAGACATCAATGCAATGGTAAGTTTTTCACCAAAAATTTAAGAACTGGCATTTGTATGGTGTATTTCACATCCTCAGGATTCTGACAGCCAATGCATTGTATCTAAACCATGTAGTCAAACATGATAGTTCCTTTCTGCTCTGAAACATTAAACAAACAGCAATAATAATAAATGGGCAGGATACTCATTTTGGTGTTGCTACTTGAAGGATAAATCTTGGCAAGGACAGTGGGATAATTTCCTCTCTTTGAAAATATTGTGCTGTGACGGCTCTATGCCTATTTGAACTGACAGAGGAGTTGGTAGCATACCTCATTTGAAAGAGGGCACTTCTGACAATGCAGCACTCCCTTACTGCACTGAGGTGTAAGCCTAAATAGTTACACAATTACTGTGGAAGTTTTTTTTCCCTTAAAATAAGGAAGCTGCAATTTGTAATATGCTGTCTAATACTTTTAAATTCCCACCATTTATTCCCGGCAAATGTCCTATCAAAATAAAAAAAATTTTCAACAAAGCTGTCATGGAACAAGATCTTAACTTTCAATTATCACTCTTTTGATTAAAAAGAATAAAATGTATCTATTGGTTGCAGATACTTGAGTGATAAGACCTGTCTTTGTTTACACTCGTTATATGATGGGGTAGAATGGATTGTGGCTGCCTATTGAACTTGCTGCTTCCATCTGTGGGAAAATGTGTGCCTACATGATGCCTTAACCATCATGCGGGAAACAGGGGCTGACTTTACAATGTTGACTTTGTAAACAAATCAGTGACCTTAGGGTCTACGATGTCCCCGAGATTTCTTTCCAAAAGCAGAAAAAGGGAATTCAACTTGAGTGTAATGGTTGCGATGGAGCATTGAAAAGGTGTGTAAATCACTGAATGAAACTCTTCTCAAAGTGCATTAAATACTTTGGCGTTGCAGAACAAGCCTCATTGAACACAGTTTCTCCACATCAGGAATGAGAGCTCTCTCTAAGGCTCTTATGGAGAAATGTGCAGTTTGTTGATACCAGTAAAATGCCCAGAGCAGTCATTGTTGTCATTAAGGCTGCCGTTTGCTGATACAAAACTAAAATAATTTATTTTTACATTCTAATTTTTAAAATCAATTTAATTGGCCAGCAATTATTGCCCATCCCAAAGTGCCTTCAGAGCTGGTGGTGAGCTGCCTTCTTGGACAGCTGCAGTCCATGTGCTGTAGGCAGACCCACAATGCCCTTAGGGAGGGAATTCCACGATCTTGACCCAGCGACACTGAAGGAGCGGCAATATATTTCCAAGTCAGAATGGTGAGTAGTTTGGAGGCTAGCTTGCAAGTGGTGGTGTTCTCATGTATCTACTTCAAGGTAGAGAGAACAGGTTTAAAAGGTGCTGTTGAAAGAGTTTTGGTGAGTTCTTGCAACGCACCTGGAAGATGGTACACACTGCTGCCAATTTGTATTGGTGGCAAAGGGAGTGAATGTTGAAGATGGTGGATTGGGTGCCAATCAAGGAGGCTTCTTTGGCTAGGATGGTGTCAAGCTTGAGTGCTGTTGGAGCTGTACTCATCCTGGTGAGCAGAGTGTTCTATCACACTGACTTGCGGCATGTAGATAGCAGGCACATATTGGGGAGACATAGGTGGGTTATTCGTTAGAGAATTGCCAGTCTCCGACGTGCTCTTGGTTCAGTTTCTGGTCAATGGTAACCCCAGGATGTGGGAGCATTTGCAATGCCATCAAACGTCACGGGGTACTGATTAGATTCGTTACCTCCTGTGGCTCAGGGAGGTTTGCCACATATACATACAGAGAGCACAGTGTACAACTGAAGGAAGCTATTTAGTCTATCCATCTCATCTTCCATAAACATTCTGGCTTCAGGACATCTAATGGCCTCAGGAATGATTCCAGACTCGCTGCATTATCCCAGATGTTGGTTAGTTTTATTTGAAATACGTTCTAACATTGCACCTGAAATTGTCATTTATTGGTTGGTAACGATGTCTTGCATTCATGGATTAATGACAACAGGTTGTATTCTGTTGCACCTTTACAGTGGTAAACTCAAACTGAACGATCTTCACAGGAGTGTAATCAGATATTTGACATTGAAACAGAGATATTAGGATAGGTAGCTAAACTTTTGGTCAGAGCTATAGGTTTTGAAAGACTTGTTTAGCACTTGAGTTGGTGTTAAGGTTAAACCTTCTCTGTTGCACTTAGCATCCTATATACCTCTAATGTATTCCTAATTTGCTTTCAATACAGCTTGAAGAGTCAGCAGTTTTGTTTTAGATCTCTTCTCATAAATCAGCTTACAGCAGCCACCAGCTTTGTGCCCTTCTCCACATCAGTTCCAGAATTTGCAACTTCTGCTTGTACCTTCATGACCAGAAATTAATGCAGTGTACAAAGATGTGCATTAGCCAGCACACTGTGCAGTTTTAGCAAGGCAGCACTGTGCAGTTCTTGTATTGATCCAGTAATAAAGCTCAAATGTTATGTTGATTGCACTTTCTGACCAGACATGTTAAACCTATGCATGCATTTTCACACCCAGATCTGTTCTGATACCACTCAGATATATTTTCCATTTTTCCTTCTAATATTTAAAATCTTACTTGTATTATCTGCCCAGTTTATCTACCAGACTATCTGATGGTTACCTAGGGAGGGAGGAAAAGGCTACAATTTTCAAAAAGGTGGGGAGCCGAAAGAACAGAACCAGATATATTATTTTGTGCAAAAATCTTTGAAGATGGCACAACAAAGTTAGCAAAGCATTTAGGATTCTGGGCTTTATAAACATTGGCATGAAACAAGGAAATCATATCTAACTTTTAAGCAGCACTGGTTCAGCACTAGTTTGGAGTATTGTTCGATTTCGAGCAGCTCACTTTAGGAAGAATGTGAAGGCTTTAGAGATTTTAAAAAAAGAGAAATGTATTAAATTGGAGATTAGTTATGTGGGGAGACTGGGGCAGCTGGCCTCTACGCCTCATAACGGAGAAGGCTAAGGAGATAATGTTTAAAATCATTAAGGTTTTAGATAGAGAGAAACCAATGGGAAAACAATTTCTAATGGGTGAAGTGGGCAGCATGGTGGCTCAGTGGTTAGCACTGCTGCCTCACAGTGCCAGGGACCCAGGTTCAATTCCACCCTCCAGCGACTGTCTGTGTGGAGTTTACACATTCTCCCAGTGTCTGTGTGGGTTTCCTCCCACAGTCCAATGATGTGCAGTGTAGGTGGATTGGCCATGCTAAAAATTCCCAAAGTGCCCAGGGATGTTTGGGTTAGACATGGGGAAAAATGTAGGGGAATGGGTCTAGGTGGGATGCTTTTCAGAGGGGCAGTGTGGACTTGTTGGGCCAAACAGTCAGAATTTCCACACTGTGGAAACAATGAAATATTACTAACTGTTGGGCACAAACATAAAGTGATTGTAAAAGAACCAGAAATTATGAGAATCTTTTTTATTTAATGAGTGATTAGGATTTGGATTGCAATGCTTCACAGGATACCACTTGCAGATTCAATTGTATCGTTTGGAAAGGAATTGAATAAATGGATAAAACAGAGAGAAAACAAAAAAAGAGATTGCAGGCTATGACGAAAGAAAAAGGAGTGGAGATTGCTCTTTGAAAGTACCAAGAGCAAACTCAGTTATTGAATGGCCTCCTTCTGCATTGCACTGCTCTGATGAAGCAGTCTACAAAACTGAGCAACCTGCATTCTGTGACAACAAGGTGCAGGGCTGGATGAACACAGCAGGCCAAGCAGCCTCAGCATCTGCAGTTCCTACTATCTCTGAACCTGCATTCTGTACCCAGGTCATTTGTACTGATTAAAAATGGCAGAGCCCCAGCATGAAAACACTGGATCTGCATTCTGCACTCACTGTATCTTCCAGTCTTGACATGACTCTAACATGACTCTTTTGTTTCAATTCCTCATTTAAAAATAAAGATCCACTTCCTTAAATTTGCTTGTAACAGACTTTCATGCTTGAAGTCTAAACACCCTGCATCATAAGAGCTCTCCAATATGTACTTTTGATTGTTACTTCCACAAACCTAGTGGTTAAGCAGGCAGGATGTCCCTTACGAAACACGCATGAGTTGCCATTCACTAGTGTATTTTCAATTCAAGTCATTCTCAATTTGCTTCTAATGCTTGATCCTATTATTTTGAAACCGCAAAACCCATCAAGAGTTGAAACATTTTAACACTGGAACACAGATAATCAAATGAGGCTGAAAGTCTGTGTAAGATTCTATATAGACAAAATAGTTATTTATTAATAACTTAGTTTTATACAATCAATCATTCTTATACAGTAATAAAATCCCCCATCCAACTTGAAATCGTTGGCGAGAATGAACTGGGGACAATTTCTCACTGGCTACTGAGTTACAGCAAGTGCAGTGTATACATACAGTTTCAGATTCCAGTTTTAAATACAGACTTATAGAAAAAAAACTATTGCATTCATGATTAACTTCCCTGAAGAGTCTGCACAGAGGTAATGCACTGTATGAGATACGCATTGTCTATTATAAAAATTAACGCAAAGAAATTTGCCAGTCCCATTTTCAAATAACAGTCTACTCATTCATTAGCAAGAAATCACAAGCATTGTTTACACATGAACAAGGAGCTCAGCTGAAAATAGAGGGAAACAAGAGAACATAAATCATAAACCAGCTTCAAATTGCACTCATACATAGATAAAGCAACATATCAAAGCAAGTCAAACACAACCTTTTTTGGCATATGCTTTCCAAAGGATCAGTTAAAACAATATTAATTTACATACGAAATTGTACATTTCCTGTCATTAACATTTACGAGGAAGGAGATGCACTGAATTCAATCTCAGGTACCTATAGGAAGCTACTTTCCTTACAGCAATCCACCCAATAATACTTAATCTTGGTTGATGTACAATTTGTGACACTGGACCTGTACACAGACAATTTATACAGAAATCATGCTGTAAAGTACTCTACAGAATTTAGAGTACAGAAATGTAATTGTGGCCAATTCCAGAACACTCAAAACATTTTTTCTTCTCTCCTAGCCAGCCTGATTAAACAAAGTCTTCAATGAAGACCAACGTTTTGCAACCAATAGAACTCAAAGAAAGAAGGGATTAAGCAAGACAGTGCGAGTACTTCGCCTGACTTCTCTCTTTGTCCTGCTTCAGACTGTGAAGCTTTCAGCCACTGCACTTTTCCAACTAACTTTGTGAACCATCAGTGGTCTCAAAGTCAAAGGGTCAGGGTCTCCCCACTTCACAACAGCTGCTTGAACAAAAGAGTCAAGTTGCCTTCAGTGAAATCAGCTGCTTCTTTTTCATACCCTTCTCGAGCCCCTTTACATGTCAGTGATTTGACCATTAAAATTCTTCTGAGCTTCTACTCACTGGTGCTGAGTTGAGCAGTCAAGTGGATTGGAGTGGGTCGAGCTGGAACATATTCTGGTTGGTGGGTGTGGTGGTAAAGTACAGAGGCTGTGAGGACAACCGGTTGTCACAGGGGCTGCTGAGGCCCAGGGTCCGCTCAAAGTCCAGCAGCTGCCCCATGAAGTTGAAGTTGGGAGAGATGTTGGACTTCTTCATCTTCACAATGTCATAGGCATCATTCATAGAGAGGTTCAACTTCTGCATCAGATAGGCCACAGTTACAGTGACTGACCGACTGATCCCAGCCAAACAGTGCACCAGCACTCCACAGCTCTGGTTACGGGCCTCATCTGAAAAATATTGAAATGGACATATAAAGGTCAACAAGAGCCGCAGCACAAAAAGTTTTAAAAGAAGTCAAACATCCATTAAATCAGAGGAGGAAAAAAAATCTTGCTAGCGAAACAAAACTCTCAGCCTTATTTGCATCCACCCAGCCCTGATTAAATCTTCTTCCTCTTTTATTCAAGGGGTCTCCAGTAATTCTCCCAATTACACTTGTGAATGTAGAGTGTCTGCAGGGGCAACAGAACTGATTTGCAGAGTACTGCGTAGGTTGGACTTTTAAAACAGTTTTGTAAATGTAAAAGGTTATCCTGCGACTTTTGGTATAACGGAGAAGGATGCCACGGCTGTATGTAGTCGGCGCTGACAGAAGAATGCATTCATCTCTGTATTGATGTCTGTTGTATGAATGTTTCAATAGAAATTTTGCACGATACAGTGAATGTCTCCTATGTAGAGACTTACAGGCTGTGAAGTCTATTAAATTATTCTCCCAACTGTTGTGCTTCCAGTCACAATAGGAGCATTCAGGCATTTCAAAAGCTAGAGGAAAGTCACAGGGGACAAGGCCCATTAACAGGAACAGGATGTCAACATTGCCTGAAAATGCTTTCCTTTGTAGGAGGAAATGCATTACAATGCCTTTAGATTAGCTTCTCTGTGGCTCCCAGCCGAAATTCCTTCCGCCCAGGCTCAAATCAGCTCCAGACTGCAGACCGTATCTCAAGGATTGTAATTGCATTAGTTCTGGTTAAACCCAGAAGTCCGCACATAAACCTGCTGGGATTCTTTTCAAACCTGTTTTAATTTCTCAGACTGGAAGGCTTTCTACCAGTGTTCAATTTAACAGAAATGCCCATGACCTAAAAATATTTAATGGTGTCACTTAAAAAGAAACAAACACAGGCTCCCAGCAAGCAAGGAGCAAGGCTGGGAACATTTAAAGCTCTCACTACCAACACTGAGACGGATATGCTGCACCCTTCACAAAATCCGGTACAAGGTTTCCTGATTTCCCTTCTTTTTTCACAAATGATGTTTGTTAAAATTATTTTATGGGATTTAGGCATTGCTGCCAAAGCCAGAATTTGTTGTCCTAAATGCTACAACCGAGTGGCTGGTTAGGGCACTTCCAAATCACACTGCTTAGGGGCTGGGCTTTGAGAGTCACACATCAGTCAGACTGGGAGAAGGCGGCAGATTTCCTTCCCTAAAGATTAGCGAACAGGGTGGGATTTTAGGACAACTGATGATAATTTTATGGTCTCCATCAGCGACGCTAGTTTTCAAGCGCAGAATTATTAACTAATCAAGTTAAAATTCCACCAACAGCATAAAGGCTGAGCTTCTCGAAGACTAGCCCAGTGCCATTAGCACTATGCCACTATCACCTTATGACCAGAGCCTTGAAATAGGATCAGAAGATGTAGGAGACCTTTCAGCCCATCTAGTCTGCTCCATTCAGTCAGATCATGGCTGATCGGATAATCCTCAACTCCACTTTCCTGCCTGTTCCCTGTAACCCTTGAATCCATTATGGCTTATAAGTAGCTGTTATCTCAGTCTTGAATAAACACAATGGCACAGCCTGGACCTGTTTGTTTCCTCTCCACCTATCCTCTCCTCTATCCCTCTTCTATCCGCCTCCCACTCTCTCCCTATTTATTTCAAAACCCCCTTCTCCTCCCCCTTTTCTGATGAAGGGTCTAGGCCCGAAACGTCAGCCTCTCTGCTCCTATGATGCTGCTTGGCCTGCTGTGTTCATCCAGCCCTGCACCTTGTTGGCACAGCCTGGAAGGTCCTTTGCAGTAAATGTAACTTAATAGCTTTTTTCAAAAAAAAGGTTTCAGAGCTGAATTGAAAGGGAAAAAGCTCACATTTTAATGGACTCTGATTATAAACCAGATTTAAAACTTGGGCAATGTTGTATTTTCAGAGAAAAAGAAATCTGTCCTCAGTTCACTTCACTGAGGTTATCCCTCTTGGTGGAGGAACATGTGCATACTGACATTAACTTAAGCTGCAGTATCTTTCATTTTAGTTCATTCCCGTACCTTCTGCCAACAAGGTTTAAATAGCCCTCCACCACAATCCTGCTGCACAAGGTTGTTCAGTTGGTGATGACTGAATACAATATAAGAACTACCTGTACTTCCTGAAATTAAAGCCTTCAAACAAAAAAAAGTAGAAAGGTTAAAGATTTTTGTGATGTTGGAGATTTTGCCTACCTATGAATGCAATGGCTTCAGGGAAGAATTGAGACAGGTTTTGACTCCAGTGATCAGAAATGGGGATCTGTTTGTATTTGAACTCGCCGACATTCTCAAAGAGGTTCGGCAGGTTTGGAGTCACGTTTAAGATGTACTTGATGCCATGTTCCTCCAGAACGTCCAGGTTGGTGGAGTCTTTAGCGCAGCCCAGGTACAAGTGGGGCAGGATCTCGACAGGGAATGAAGGCTGCTGGTTGTTGGACAGGGGACTGCTGTCACACTCGGTCGCACTGCTGGGGTCCGGCTCAGACTCGATATCTGAGGAGGAGTCTGAGCTGATGCGGAGACCCCCGAGACCCAGCACTGGCATGGTGGGCGATGAGCTCCCACACGAACTGTCCAGGTTACTCTCACAGTGTGTCGGGTATTCCGCCTGGAACTTACTGAAGCCGCCTGTGAAGACAGGGCAGGACAACAAAAAAAAGACACCCACGTTAGTTTCATGTATTTGGAAAAAGTCAGAACAGTGCAGAAACAAGGGAGAGCCATTAGGCCATGTGTGTGTGTGAGTGAGTGAATGAATGGAGGGGACAGAGACAGTGCGTGTGTGTGAGTGAGTGAGTGAATGAGGGGGACAGGGAGTGTGTGTGTGTGTGTGTGACTGTCCATTCACTCACTCACACACACACACACTCTCTCTCCCCCACCATTCACTCACTCACTCACACACATGCGCACACAGACACACACACTCTCTCCCCCACCATTCATTCACTCACTCACACACACACACTCCCCCCCACCATTCACTCACTCACTCACACTCACACACTCTCTCTCCCCCCATTCACTCACTCACTCACACTCACACACTCTCTCTCCCCCCATTCACTCACTCACTCACACTCACACACTCTCTCTC